TCCTTCTGATAGCTACGACCCTCGCTAGTGTGTAAGTTTCTGACGTGATGGAATAAGTGGAAACGGTAGACCGTTGCTTTCTTTCCCGACGAAACTTTCGCATTACCTTCTAATGATTGTTGCTTTAACCCATTTTCCGGGTCCGCTACGAGAACTCCAGATATCTAATCCCGTACGTTAGCGTCTTAGAGTTTCCAACTCTCACATATATGCCGTTACACTCAAATAAGGATTCCATTATATAATCTTTGTTCGTACCTAAAACTTCTAATAACATTGGCGTAAAGATAACAACGGAGAAAATTAGCAGTATTATCAAATCAATTCCGTTTCAATTTGTTTTTCATTCAAAATACCCGAGAAAATGCTTTCAAAACTTGAATGCTCGAAAAGAAAACTTATCTGTTTTATCATATAGTGTAGAAAAATAATATCGCTTTTCGTCCGTTAGGTGCAACGAATTATGAGTTTGTTAAGACTTGGCCATCCTCAAGCTATACTGATTTGGTTATTTTCGAATTGGAATTCCAAACTAATCCTTCTATCCGATATCTCGCGTGTACCATACGATTACTTGGCGAGGCTGAAACTTCCATCTGACCATTAAAAATTTATCCATGGCTTAACCTCATCTTCTGAAATCCTTGAGAATACATCGGGTAGCTAAGAGTCCGTGGTATGTAGTAACTTGAAAATGCTCGGGAGGCCAGATGGAGAGCTCAAGCGCGGTTAGAAGATCTCAAGCCTTAGCTGGGAAAGCAGTCGGCTTTTAGTTCTCGTTACCGCCCCCATTAATACTAAGAACGCGCTTTGCTATGATATATCTTCGAATTTGTTTTATTCATTTCGGCCATGACTTCCCCGAGCAGCCGCTATCCGCGGAACGTAACGACGTGGTACAGTGATCTGTAAATATTTGACATAAATATAAATCGATGATGCGATTCCACGTGATTGCAGCCTCGAGATTTACGCTGCGTCGGGCTCATAAACGACAGTAACGCACGCGTCGCTTTTGATCGATTACGCGATGTATCGATTTTAGAATTTATCGGAGGGCGGGAGAGAGGGGAGAAAAGGCGGTTCGAAATATGGAACAATAGACACGTATGAATCAATGTATCAATATCCATATATTAAATAACGTATCAACGTATATTTGATTAACGCGAATGAAACGGCCCGATAAACAGATAGGCGTACACTCGCGTAATAATCCCGTAGACTGTCATTGTATTTATTTCGCCGCACCAAATTACCAATTTATATAATCTCTCGGGGATAATACACCTAGCGCCGTTATACGGTGTCGTCGTATACGCGAGATTTCTGCACACATTGCCATTTCGGAGGACAACATTTTCCGGAAGGTAGTAAAGCGTGATATGAACCGTTGCTGGTGTAATGAGCTGGCAATATAATGTCTAGGCCGGCTCGGTCCAGACTAGTCTGGAGACAGGACCCCACGGCTGGACATCAATATATTGATGACTGTGCGGACGGAGATTAAGAGCTGCCATCCATATCGACACGCTTGGCTCCTCTTGTAACGTGACACATCGGATACCATTAATAAAGAGGACGGTACTTTCCTCCGCGTCTGACGAAGAGCTATAATAGGTATTTTGATCCGAGCTAAGAAGGCATGGGAAAGAGGAGATCTCTTCCCATTATAACGTAGAGATGATAATGTCTTGGCATATATATCCCTCTTAGGGAGTATCCACGAGGAAGATAAAATGTGAATGTGATTTGGAAAATATGCATTGCAACTATTCATTTACCGTTTCTTTTTCCCGCGATACCTTATCGGTCTTTTTTTTGCGCGCGCGTGGACTTTAATCACAATTATCGGGCTCTTTCCACGACAGTTTATTATCGACGACAGTCTGACAAAGAATGATTAAAATTTTAATATCTATCGTGCAGCGCCGAGTTATGCAAATAACATAACACGAGTAAACTCTTGACCGTTCTTCCGTCATTAATTATGGCAAATATTACCAGCTGATAAAAGATTAATAAGCGACGAGATTTTGGGACAACGTGACCGCGCGACCATTCTGTCAAAGATGAAAAACATTGGAGATTGCATCGTCGCGGAAAACAGCGTAATATCGATTCACAATAAAGTGCGTATCAAATGGACGGACGAGAGGATGTGTGCGGTATGCGGAAACGGAATGGGGCAAACGGGGAGAAGCTGCGGGCTAGTAAAGGCGAGTCATTACGTTGTCGGTACATCGCCTCTTTCGATACATTTCGAGTGCGGTTACGTGACACTGCGCTGTATCCACCGAGTCGAGTGGTAGATGGGCTCGGGAGAAGGGGTCGGGCGCAGATACAGGGCAGAGGAAATGGGAGAATAGGGATGAAAATGGGGTAGGACGACGACGTGGGATCAACGCGGAGAGGCAGCGCGGTAATCGGCGGCAAGTGAATTGGAACAAATGCAGACAGACGTGAGGTGGACTCTCCCTCTATCTCCCCCCCCTCTCTCTCTCTCTCTCTCGCCAGATACCGCAAGCAAGAAATATAGTATAAACCGGACTATCGCTATTAATTGAGTTCGTCCCTATCGTCGATGCGCGCAACGTCCCCTACTTTGTTCAACCTCAAGACGAATCGATGAAACGTGGGACTGGGAAAAGCGGCGAGGGAGATGATGAAGTAGATATTAGGGGAGCAGATAACGGAATACCATATGAGACAACTTATCCCGACTTATTGCATTATTCTTTCCGACCCAGTTGTACCGTCGTTAGAGCTAGAGCGTGTTTTTTTTTTGCGTGCGCGAAGTACATTAATATTGATACGATCAAACGTACGAGGCAGCTTCGAGACGTAACTCGCGTTGCTTTCTGTGTACATGTGACGTACGCGTATGTGAAAATTATTATTCGCGAGGCTTCATTTACTTTTCAAAATGCTCACACCCATTATATTAGGTATTATATTAGAAGGAGGTTGCCGGCGCGGCAATCTTGATTTTGGTCTTCGAACGTAATATCCGGCAGTGCTTGTAGACGACGCGAGGAAGTAAAACTAATTTCGTAAATCCTTTAATCTACGCGTTTGGTGGAAAGCCGAGGCGAGATTAAGGGAAGCGGACTGAATGGGCGAGCTCCTGGGTGTTTGATGGAATATGATGAACGAGGCACGTAAAACTTGGTTATTGGTATACCAGATCAAATAGAGGAAAAAGAAGCAACTTTAGTCTGACGCGCCGCAATTAAAGCAGTTGCGAAAGTCACGATACGCAGCGGGGACTTAATAATGAGATAGTTGATAATGTTTCTTGCTAGTTGCACGTTGCATTCATGTGCAATATCTGCCGTTAAATTCTTATTGAGATATGCGATTCTCATTTTTCTTGTGTCAACGCTCTTTTAATTCAAAATTATTTTAATCGAGAACAATTCAATTAAATTCCAAAGTGTTGTGAAGGCTCCCAAAAAGAAAATGTCTAGAAAGAAGGAAGTACCGATGCGAGCCAAAAAATGAACGGTACTCGGTTCTGACAATTTAAAATCACAATTTCTCTTTAATAAGAAAACAAACGTTTCAACCCTTCTTCGGGTCTTCCTCAGTGAAAACCACAATAAGATCGTCGAAAGTTCGGGATAAGAATATAATACAAATTATAGTACATATTGGTTCGACAGTTATAATCAATTACCTCATTTAGACCGAATAAAACATAAGTCAATAGCTTAGAGAATCAGTGCACCAAGTGACTTCAAAGTCATCTCCATCTGTGTTAGTATCAGTGAGTCTCCATGGTCATTTAATCAAATCAATTCAATTAAAGATACTTTCCCGAAAGTAAATTGCATCAGTTTGTCACAATAATATTTATACTCACTCTCAAATTGCTTTTTGTAACAAGGTTATTTACTAAAGATTTTTATCCATTTTTCCATTTTGTTTATCCGCCAAAAGATATCTTTGTATTGACGCAAAAACGTATAAATTTAACTAAAGTGTATAAAATTACACATTTTAAATTATTATTGCTATTGAAATTAATTATATAATTTAATATTATATACTTTATATTTATATACAAATATTATTACATGAAAATACTCTACTACAACAGAACAAGTTACAAGGCGTGTCAACATACTAAAATTGCATCTCTCTCGATCGAAAAATCATTATATCGAATAAATATTATAATATTATATTGTCACTGAATTCGTCCATGAAAACAGGATCAACTGCAAATCAAAAGTAGATATCGATGAAAAAATCAACAACGAGACAGTGATTGTTGGCAGAATCACGTTTTTTTCGGTATAGATTCGGACGATTGCAAATATACACGAGTATCGTTCCGTTGAATATAACAAACATGGGATGGTATCGCGGATTTACAGCATGCACCGAATATAAATGCAATGCATATCAGCAAGTTTTTGTTTTCTTGTTAGTTGATTTATTAGTGCGCACCCTACTTTATATTAAATGTGAATTTAAAATGGATAAATCAAGAAGCTTCTTTAAACGCTAATAACAAAGTTATTTAAGTGTCTTTTTTTTACACTAGTGAATTCTCTACTAGAGCCAACGGCACACGATGCTATTTTTCCTGCTGGATTGCTTACGAGAACCAATCAGGATTTAGCCTTAAGTCACCTGATCTAAAACTCTGCATCCTGATTGGCTCTCGTAAGCAATCCAGTAGGAAAAATAGTATCGTGTGCCGTTAGCTTAAAACTCTGCATCCTTATTGGTTCTCGTAAGCAATCCAGTAGGAAAACAATAGTATCGTGTGCCGTTGGCTTAAGCTTTTTGCATAGCAAGAACTGAAGCCAACGGCACACGATACTGTTTCTCCCATTGAATTGCTTACGAGACCCAATCAGGATTCAGCTTTAAATTACATGATCTAAAACTCTGCATCCTTATTGGTTCTCGTAAGCTATCCAGTAGGAAAATTAGTATCGCGTGCCGTTGGCTTAAACTAGTAAATAAAGAATGAAACTATCACTTACTGCCATACTGTTGCGCCAAAATGGAAGCAAAGACCTGACCGGGGCTACGAGCACCTCTTGCAACGGACGAAGTCGACACGGGCCCCACTGTGTGACGTGCGTTATCTTCATCATCGCTACTGGATTGGGCACTGGCTCCATAACCGCGCCGTTCTCTCCATTCCAGGGACCGCTGACGGCGCAGCCCACGGCCCCCATTTGCGTGGCCGCGGCCCAACGTACCCTCGCTGTCCATCACTGCAGCATCTGTAACAAGTGATTGATAATTTGTACAACGATCGAGAGCCCCCTTGTAAATTTTATTATGTGCGTAAGAAATATTCCCATTATGATGTCAGAATTTTGAAAAGATATCAAAGTCGTTTCTGCGCTCGAAGCAATTGCAATGTACAAGAAAGACGCATTAAATTCTGCTTTAATAGCATGTCAAAGGAAATCTTAAGAGATGTCTGAGACTGCCAAATGGCGTGTCAAACATAACACGAAAATTGTTGCGTGGAATAACAATGATGCCATTACGTGAAGCGTCGATAGTACGTCAACGTCGAACAACAGCGACTCATTAGGCATTCACGGCCGTTGCTCGGAATCATTCAGGGCCGAACGAAATCGAATTGCACACTCGACATTTGCTGATATTCAATGCAGATAATTCTAGCTTGGCTGCTGACAGATTTGTTTGTGTCTACGCTGTAGAAATGTATTAACACGCATTGTCAGTCCTAATATGTGAAGGAGACAATGTTTTTCTCTGGTTTCGATGATGTTTCAAGGAAGAAACAAACGTTATTACTTGACAGACGAAAGCACAAAGCGATAATGTTACATACGCGTAACATACTCTACGTGTCTCGATTAATTACCAACTATTCAAAGCGATTTTATTACATGACTTTTAAGTGCGTTTCCTAATTCCGGCGATACAATCGATAAAGGCCCGTCATTCGTGTTAATTAATTTTATTCGTTATGCCGTAATTACAGTAGCGAGCGACCCTAGATTTCCGTAGAATTTTCTTGTTGACCCTCCTTTAAATAGAGACCTCTGTAGATCGATAAGATCTTGAATGTGTATGGCGGCAGATAATTGAGTGGTGGATGCCTCTCGAAATTCCCATGGAGACGTCCTCGCTCGCCGTTGCTCTCCCTTGATTGCAGAGACCGCTGATTGATGCTCCGAGGGAGAGCCGAACAGTGATGTCTTAAGATCACTCACTGTTCCTTGGACTATGAAATTTCAGTTTAGATCTGGTATCACAAATGGGATGGCCGTGTTACGTTTTCGGTCACGTATTCGAAGAACGGAATTAATGCTAATCCATTGTCATTGTCGGCACGCAAGGATAGCCCATCGATCATATTTGCACGATTAATGATACGTAATAATTGTGGACTTTCAAACGTGATATAAATGTGAATATGGCAAAAACAATCTCATGAAGCGCACACAATCCCGTTTCAATAAAAGAAAATAAATACGGCCGTTTACCGATGGCTGTATCCGATAGAATTGGTCAGGGAATTTGCTCGGCAAATATTATATGAAAATTGAATGAGATGGAAGTAAATTAAATTCTGTATACGTGGCAAACACACACAAGCTGCTGCCCCAGATCGATTTTGTAAAAGTACAATAATGGTTGTACTGTATACGTCATAAATTTATAATTATTTGATAAACAGCGCTTCCGCGCACATATTTTTACAAATGATTCGGCAATCGTCATGATACTCAAGTGCTGTAAATGGAGGGAACGGCGTTGCAGAATGACGAGCTTTATCCAGCCATAATTCAAAATCGAGAGGGGCGGGGGAGGGTAGGGGGTTAAACGAGACGGTTCATAACCACGAGCATATCGGCGTGAATTCCCAGAAATTTGCAACCGTGAAATTTATGGGGAGACATCCTGCGGTGTCGGGCGTCGCGTTAATAAATCTCAATGCGTCGCAAAGCCGGGCGAGGGATAAACCGTACTTGGGAGATGCGCCCTTATGCATCGCGCCGTGCACCTCTCACAGCCACTTTTCTCACTTGCCTCAATAGTAGCTAACAGGTCGCATCCTCTACACACGAGGGCACTTTACGATGTTTTGTTTCGTCGGCCCTTCGCATCCTCCTTCGTTCGCGTAAGCGTGTCGAGAATGTGGGCGACTTGTCAAACCGTAAGTGAATCGGAAACCTTCCGTGGTGCGAGTCGAGTTAACGAAGAACCCGCAAGCGCAGTCGAGTGCCTCTTTCCGAGCGAAGCGAGAGGAACGTTGAGGGACGATCATCTGTCAACCTTCGTGATTTCATCTTGACCGATATTTTTCGTAACCCTGATTCCTAACTACGCAGCACGAAAACAATTTCAACGACGCGTCAAGTGATACTTTATATCAATTTTACCGTATCAATTTGACGCTCGCATCCTGTGATTCTCTTTATCTGACTTGGATACGGGCTTGTGCGCCAAATTTATGTTATTAATCAATAAATAACAGAAAAGCAAACCAGAATATTAAAACAAATTCGAATTAAATTCCAGTTAAAAATACAATAATAACTATATACTTTGTTTATTTATTTATTTTATTTGCTAATCGAAAGAAATGCAAATTTATTAAGGTTCGAAAATTATTGGGCTTGCGGAGTTAAATATTTTATGTATTTTAAATCGCTCGTTATTGTATAAATATTTAATTTTCGAAGCGCGTCTTTTTAGGAACGTTTTACGAACTGTGTAAAGATTTTCGTACCATTTATTCTCGATACGATCGATTATATCACTTCAGCGATAGTCTTGAACAAGCCCGTGTTTCGAAATTAATTTTCCGGACAAACGATCGAGGAATAATTTTCAATTTATGTGCGTGATTATAGTAACGTTCAAGGAGCAGTTTTTCATGCCGTCGTAACAGAGGAAAAATTCCATGGTGGAAAAAAAAATAGATAATGTAGCATTGTATACTTCCTCCAATATTACACACTGTACTGTCTATTTCACCGTTGCGAACGGCATTCGTCGTTTTAATAGAAAATTTTTACAAGGGGTCGTAAACATAAAGTAGACCATCCAGCCGTGGGGAACTCTTATTGCTATAACTTATAACACGTGGCTGATAATATAATGGGCCTGTACGATATAAAGTGCCTCGCGAAGAGGGCTGTCAGGGATTTGCTGACTGCGAGTATGACTCTGCCATTATCACACACTGCTGTCTTTAACATAAAAGTTTAATATAAAAATAAAGCGTGGACTGCTTGAAGGAAGAAAGCATGGACCATTTCTTTTTTTTTTAAGAGACCTAATGATTAATTTTAATCTTTCAATAATTAACGAGGAGAAGATTTTACTTCCCTTGTAAAAATATTTAGCAGAGCTAAAATCTTATTGTACAATAAAGTATAATTGAATTTGAAAAACTTGTGCACGATAAAGATAATTACGGAGCTTGTGAAAAAGGGGTAAATATTACATAAAGTCTCTCTTATCATATATTGCGAGTTATCATGGTTAATAAGATTGTTGCGGAGATGTTCCAGCGAGTTTTAGTGAGGCAAAGTTGGTGCCAAAAATCATAATCTTACGAGGGGACGCGGCGCAATCTCGGGGAAAATTCGTTGGCTGCATCCGACGTCGGATATAGGACAAGCATTAGGGCAGAAGTTCTTAATATTGAGGCATGTCGCACGTGTTTATTATTGCCAAGAAACTGTTTCCACTTGTGTAACAATAAGTCAACATAAACGCGAAAGTTTTTTCCCCCATTTCTCAACAACAACGCCAAATTGTTCTTGCGAGAATGCGACGAGAGTGCGCGATGCTTGGCTCTGCGCGCGCATCATTTATCGCATTAAATAAACAAAAACTTGGTTCACGGGAGAACGCGAAACGTACGTCAGATTTCACACTATACCCGCGGCGCACCGCGACATTCGTCGTAAATATAAATCAGCCTGCGTGTGTCGTAGCCTCCTAGAAAGGGTTAAAAATCCTCAGCCACGCGTATATGTATAACCCGCGCGAAAAGTCGTCTCGTAATACCTACGCTTGAGAATATAGTGGCACTCCGACTTTCAGACCACGAATTCAGTCTTAGAGAAGGCATACTATAAAAGGCTTTAAGAGTTTCCCCGTGTTCGTGCGAATTGAGTGGGATTTGCATACCACGTCGCGGCGGGAATTTCACGAGAAATGTGGACCGGGTTTTTAAACGGCATCTAATGAAGGTAACATTAGACGACATTGTTCAAGTCCGCCACGGTGCCGTCCGCCTTTTAGGAATGTAAGAAGGGCATCTGAATGCATGAAACATAGAACTGGCGGCCGGTATAGCCAGATATGGTTCGAGTAGGACGTTTGCATATTCATCGGGATGCGTGAACCCCCTTGCTCGTCAAGAAGGTGCGCAGCCTTAAATATCAGGTATACCCAGCTTCTCGTCATGGACCGCCGTCGCTATTGCCTCGATATCATCGCGCCGGATAATTATACAGCGCTAATCTGAGTAACGTTTCTGAAGCGCTCGTGAGACACTGGTTGACTTTGGCGAAATAGAAATTTGAATACACATCAATTATAATACATGTGTCGCTGTGTTTGTAATTTACATCACGCACGCACTGCGTGCATAGGCGTCAATTCACTTTATGCTCGACGTGCGTTTCTCGGCGCTTTGCTGCAATCCAAGTTTCACTGAATTATATTAAATACAATATTTCAAATGGATAACATTACCGGTGCATTTAACATAACAAAAGTTCCTCTATAATCAATGAAAAGATTATCTACTATTGAATCAAAGACGAGTAATAGACGACCTCTTCGTTTATTAAGTTCCGTTTAAATATTCTTAGCTTCTGAACCGCGAAGGATGCCTCTCGTACGTCTTCAGCAATCTTGCGTTTCTAAAATCGACTAATCACGGAAATGTTATTTCTTGGCGACAAATGCCGACAAGTCCCGGGGAAAAAGTAAGATTAGGAAAATTCTAGCACTTGGCTAAAATTGATCTAAACGCGGCCGTCAATCATCCCCGCCGGATGATCGAATAGATAGCGCGATGAAGAAAATTGCACGGCAGCGGCGGCCTCCGTGGCATTTTGCGGTGCAGAATGTCAATTAAACGGCGTGGCCGATTAACCATAACCGAAACCTCGACAAAGGCCGGAGCGTGCACGGTTTCGCACTCCGGCGGGTTCATCACGCGATAATTTATATGGTAATTCCAGGGACGTAATAAGTCCCCCTCGGCAAACTCCGGCTGCCACTACACACGATCCTCCGGTGCGGCCGCGGCGTCCTGCGTTGACCCCGGCGCGGCGTTCCATCGGGAGAGGATGGCCTGCCATGTACACATCATTACTAAAAGCGGTCATCGATTCATCGGAGTTCGACCACCGGTCGTGCCCACCGACCGATCCGTCGTGGTAGCGCGTCGATGCATAGACAAGCTGACGTATATTGTATATCTATATGTATGCCCATGTGTGTAATGTATGTATATTATGTATATTATACATATACATACATATGTATCTGCGTGTATGTACGTAAGTATACATATACACATGTATGCGTATCTATGCATCGACGGGAACGTGTAGGCATCCATTGTCAAATTTTCCCACTCGCGATCGACCGTGCGGGATTTAATTAACACCATCTCGTTAACTTTTGTCGCGACCTATCGTGCCCGCCCGGTGTTATCTCTCACGAAGATGAGCTTGCTTGCTCGATCAAGTGGATCGTTTATATCGACGAATTAACGACATGCATATACTGTTCTTTTTTTTTTCGCTGTTTAGTCTACTCGCGAGAATTTGCATGTCACATTACGTATCTTTATTTCTCCTGATATACACTCGCCATTAATTACTTTAACATTTATTCTCTGAATGCACTTTTTGCGACGGGAAAGGTACACACTGCAACTTTCAGAAGAAATTATTACATTTCGGCCAAATAAACGTATTTCCACATTTATTGGTTATTCGGTTATAAATGTTATAGCTTATGTCATGTTTTCTATAATAATTTATTGATCAAGATGAATCTGTTTCTAGATGACTCTTCTCTCTCTTTCCCTCCCACCCCTCTTTCCTCGCTCCCTTTTCTTTCTGTCTCTCTCCAATAGAAGAGTTTTAAATATATTTCAAAATCTGTCGCGCGATTGATGATGATTCATGGAGACGAGATAGAAGTTATTAAAAGCGGGTGATAATCGATGAGGATGGATGGCATTATAACATTACAGTGAAGCGGTTTACTCATAAATTTTGTTTGGCCTGACAAAATCGAAAAACCGCGAGGCATCGCCAGGGCGTGAATATATTGACACGAATGTGGCTCCAGCATCAGGGCAGTATTTATTTTCCCGGAAATTTTTAGCACGGTGAGCAGGCACACAAGTATCGAATAACCGTCACACGTATGTGGCACTCTTTTTGCAAACAAATTATAGATGTATCACCTTGAAACCTTTCGAGAGTATATTTTTGCTCGTTAGCATTAGTCGGCACTGTATTAATATTTATTTTATGTTTCCATCAATATCTTATGTATTTTAAATGAATCTCTATTTATATGTTGGTTAACGATCCACATGGAAACATTTTATTCTTGGCAATGAACAGAGATTGATCCATTAATAATTTAATATCCTGTGTCATGAACAAAGATTTTCTATGCTAAACAACTAAAAGATATACTCCTTATTGCAAATAAAACGGTGCGCAAAATGAAGAGTAATGCTCGCGCAGCTTCTACAACGATAAAAGGCGAAAGAGACGCGCTCGGAATAGGAGGGGAGAGAGAGAGAGAGAGAGAAAGGTAATGATTTCCGTTTAATTTACTTGGAAAGAGAGCTTCCACGTGTCATAGACTGAGTGCTATCGAAAGTTCAAAGTAGCAGTCGATAGAAAGCAAACGGGTCCATCGCCGCGCCGTTTATAGACGTCTCGTTCGAGATCAGAGAAGGAAGGCATCGGATCCTAATGACCGCTCCGTTCGATTGCAGTGATTACAAAGTCGATTGTTAGCGTCTCTTTGAAGCTCAATTATTCTTGGTAATGACTCTTCTATTTAATCACAAATATACGTACGTAGCAGCGTGCACTGCGATCTCGAAAGCGTGCTTCGGAATCGAAATGCGGAAATAACCGAGGCGTCGGGGGCAAATACAATCTCAAGGAACATAACATCTTACTTCAACGAGCAAGAAGCATCGCGCTGCTTGCAATTGTAAAATCATAAAAATCTCAATCGCGAACATATCTCCGTTTTTATCAAACACGCGGCAGTACTATTAACTAACCCCGATAGATATCTGCCAATAGACACATTAAGATACTCGACACTCTCCACTGCGTCCTGCACTCTTGCCTCGCTCTCGCCCCGTAATCTACGATGTAGTTTCGTCTTCATTTGCCAAATGGTCGGTAAATCCACCCTGCGCGACGTCGTCACTGACTGCAGGAAAGACGGTTTAGCATCACGGCATCCAACCGTCGCGGGGGCGTTACGATGAAACTTAACTGCGATGTAAACCCACTTTGGCTCCGTTGGATGCTGCTAGATGAACGTCGTATCTCACTAACACGAAGTCGCACGAACCATTTAACGATTCTCCGGGTGGGATTACGTGTCGCGCAATCGTCGGCCCTGATCTGTTTTTGTAGGCTCGCGAACGTGGGAGATTTGTCTCACGACGTTCAGCAAAATTTGCGGTGTAGACCGTTGGGTGAAAAGAGCAATTTTTTTTGTACAAGTTGTTCTCTATTTTATTATTACGCACATATAGTGCCAACTTTTGAAGAATTTCTTTAAGAATTATAAATATACGTTTAACATTGTCTTTTTGCACTTTCTTTGTTATCAGTAAATTGTGAATCAAAGTGAAATTTATTGTTTAATTATAACGCTGTTACGTCAGACGCAACTGAAATAAATGTCCGAATGTGAATGGCAATTCCCCAGTGGGTCGAATACTTGCAGTCCCACGAGGAATAATTAATTTTTGCAATCATTTCAACGTAACACGATGATGGAAAATACGGATGTAGGTTTACCGCGGAGCTTTACATATGCATAAACAAGTTTTACGAGCGAAGATAAATAATTCATATATATATGTATATATGTATGTATACTTAAGCAAAATTGGAATGTTATGCAACCAAAAATGGACAGGCAACATTTGACTTTTTAATACATAGAGATACGAGTTCGATAAAAAGACAAAAATCTATCTGATATCGTCGAAAAAGAAAGCGCGAGGTCCCCGAGACTTTCAGACTGTCACTTTTCCGACCTGCAGAAAACAACATTCTTGAAACGAAAGACTGGTCGTGGAAATTGGATTGTCCTTCGAAAGCCCCTGGGGTGTCATGCGTAGGAACGCGGGATGATTCATTCAACACTACATCCGTGAAATGTTCTGAAACGTTCTACAACCCCCGTAGAAGAGAATAAGCTATAAATAGAAACGAAATTTCGCACGTGTTGGTAGATTTCCGCGAGGAAATTTTACGGACCGTTTAATGCACTCTCGCCACCTAAAACATTCAATACCTTCTACCAGATTCATATCGGAATTGTGCATATCTTATGCACATGCTGCATCAATGAAATTTAAGTAACATCATTAAACCGGATTACTTCTCTTGCTTATTATTCTATTATACCGCGTAGCTCTAATGCGGAAAGGATCAAGATTGCAAATTATATTTGGCAATTATGAACGATTAGCGCCTACGCAAATGATTCATCGAAAGCCCTGCGGTTGTGCTGAACGAAATGACATAAGGTTGTGAAAAAAAAAACGAATGTGTATAACCGGCAAATTACCGCGAACATTGGCGCGTAGAATGGGCGAATAGAAATTGTAAATGTAACTTTTCTTAGAAAGTACACCCTAGGAATACTTCCAATTACAAATCGGGCCAATCACTCAAATTAAAAAGCTAGATAACAAAAGTAAATAAAAGTTAGCGTTTGATGGTTGCACGTTTATATGAACTTTTCTCATTATTTTGTTTAGTAGAACACGCTTTTGAAGTTGGATTAAACATTTTTAGGAACGCTGTGCGCACTAATCACGGATTCAGTCTCAACACGCGTTCGCGCGGTAACGAGAGCGAATGAAGAAGTTGTTCTTTACAATACAGGCGTTGTAAAATTTACAAAACTACGCTATAGAAATGTCACGTGAGGATTTACACCGTCCTGTTCTTCAATCGCGACTAAATGCTCCCACGCGCGCCCTTTCGCGATCACGAAGTCGCTCTTAATTCCGTTGCTTCAAAACATTTCTACCATTTTTTCTCGTATTTCTTTCCGACATTAGAGCATTCGCCGGAACGCTCTCGCGAAAAAAAAAAAAAGATGACACCGGCGAATGCCTGGATAAACTCGCGTCGTAGCGCAAATGTAAAATGACATGAACATTAAATAAAGCCCAGAATAGCGACAACATTCTGCGCGTCCTGCAAAGCTTCTTAGATAGAAGTAAGTTGTAAGTCTCTTACCCGACTGGTCAACGCCGTAAGCACTTTCGTTTGGTCGGCAAAAACAGCTTGAAGCGTAAGGAGATTAGAGTCGTTATGGCGTCAGCCGGGGACAAAAGTGGAGGAAGTTTCATGCGAAAGTCGCGACCCTCGTCTAACGTTTCACCATCTCTCGCGACGCAAACCGTGCAAAGTGACGGAAAGCCGGCTACCGCTACAAAAGAATCACAGTCGGGATGTACTAAAGTACAAGTTGCGTAACGGTGCAGACGACGTTGAGCCCCCGCGAGAAAGGAATAATTCACGCGACAAAAATACGAAGAAAGTCTCACCGTGTCGCGGTACGAGGGTAAAAGAATCTCTCTGCACGATGAAACTCAATTCGGATCTCTTTGTGCGTCGAAATGAGAGGCTTTCTATTAAGCGCAGTTCTGATTATTGGAGTTCACGGCAATTAAATTAACGGAACGCTGTTATTTTATTTATATTACATTCCCGTAAGGTTGTTTCTCAAAGAAGACCTCGAATTTCTGCATCTCTAAATGCCAAATAGTTAAACACAAGGTACTTACAGTGACACGTCAGACTAGTGGTCAGAATCTGCTTATTAGCGTCCGCGTGTTCAGCAGAGCTGAAAAATAAGAAATTACATAGTTATTATCGACTGCAACTAACGCAGCGTATCGGTCAATTTACTCGAAACAATATCATTTCTGTCGCTGGCGATTTGTCACTTTAACATTTATTACATGCGGACACAAACATTTAATAATTACAAGAGTACAGATAAATCTCAATTTATGCGCGGCCCAAAGATTAACGCGGCTGTTTCTTAGAAAGCACCGCAGGAATGCTCGACTAGATATGTATGCAAAGCGACTCGCGTTTTATTTCAAATGTCTGTGTTGCTTCCGCACGCCATGCGGTAATCTACATAAAGATAATTTTAATATGTAATACTTTTCCTATTCGACGTCAAGCGTATAATTTTAAAGAAACAGAAATGAAAAAGATGAAAAGGAGGCGCATTTAAATTTATTCGCGAATCCCGCATGTTCTAAATTACCCATCGTCAGAGATGTCGATGTTACGATTGTTAACGAATGATTGTTGCTAAAAAAATCGTCATTGTATCGACCGATGCAGAAATAGGAAAAAAACCGTGTAATTTTCAAGTTTTTAATAGTTTTTCATGACCCGGCATAATGATAAACGGTATGTCGGGCAACTCTCAAACGGGATAAATGTCTCGGATAACTCGTTCGTGCCGGTGGTGCATGTTTAATGCCGGAAGTGGCTCGACTCCCAGGCCCCGCCGTCATCCTCTCGCAGCGGTTTCCGCAAGCTCCGTAGGGTCATTAGCCAACCATTCATTATGCAACTGCGAGGCAGTATTGCGTCAATATGGGGGCGGCAGATTGTTGGCCCAATCGATAACAATGCGCCGTGTTTACCAGCCGGATAATCAACAGACGCAGCTTCTGCTGCCTCGCCTCCGAAGACCAAGCAAGTGGGAATTACGGTCCGCTTCGCTCCGAATGATATTGCGTTCCGGAAGTGTTACCTTTCCTCGTACCTCTCTACCCGCCGGCGATCCGGCGACGTCGATTCCAGCCATCTCTCTATCTCGCAAGTGCTATTCAGCTAGAAGCGAGTACGATTGCGAGCTCGCCGTCTCTAAATGGTACACGCGATCGAAAAGCTGTTCGGATTTGTAGCCTAATCGTACAGATACTCGCGTGATCCAATTATTCCGTTATGATTTTCCACTTAGTAATTTACGCGGCCGAAGAGTAACGCATCGGCTTTGCGATCATGTGTACACATAAGTAGACTGTAATGATTTTCTAGAGAGTTGACACATTAGCATAATGTGTTCGGCCATGTGTAACATGGCAATTCCAGCAGATATTTTACCGACGTACAGAATCAAAAGCTACGATGTAAAATCAGTAATAGTATCAAATTGATGATTCGAGTTTGGTCGCATTAAACTCGCGTCATATCACCGCGTACGACAAGCTATGCATTTCGATGCGTTCGTTACACGAGCGTCTGCTTCGATCGCGATCGCAGAACGGTCGAGCGCGTTCAATCGCCCAACCAAGCCGTGCCCCATACAAGTTTAACGTCAGTGAAACGGTCAGGGTGGAGGAAAAGAGGCGCCGGAAGTACGGGCGCCGTGAGATGAAACGTTGTCGGGCGCGATATTCCCGCGCGTAGAAGGACGCCGGGTTCCCTTTGATCTAAGTTGCCGGGAATGCAGGACGAAGGGACAGCGTGCGTAGCTGTCGCCCAGGAAGTTGGGAGTAATTTGCTTAGTTGGATTAGATTGTGAATTTTGTGCCGCGATGTTTGAGCCGCCGTTCATCTCGTCGCGTTCTCCATCGCAACCCTCTCCCTCCTCCGCTCCTCTCTCTCTCTCTCTCTTTCTGGTCCATCATCATCGATCCACGTCCTTTCGAGACAGCTCCGCTGCCGTCAACCTTATAATTACAGTACCATCTTCAGAGACGGGCTTGCCAATTCATTGCCCGGCGGAAATACGCACTTTGATCCGGCAAGAAGCGGGTATTAGCTGGTAGGATAGGTCATCGAAATCCGCGACGGTGCGCAACGTTAAGCGCCATCGCCCCGGATAATGTAGACGCTCCCTGATTTCGCGTGCTTTGATCTACCGAATTGAGCCGGGCTGGGGCGATCGCGAAGCCGCGCGACTGAGAAAATATTAATCGGACGTCAAACGGAGTACGAGCGAATCATACGGTGTCATGAGACATTTGCAATCGCGCGGTGCAAACTTGGCATCGATTTTCCAAATAAGAAGGCCGAACGTTTTATAGCCGAGCTGGCATGACAAGTACTTATATTTGTGCGTTTTGCAATCTGCAACGTCATATAACTTTATACTTTGCCATTCAACTCAGTTTGCATTTACTTCACCTACTTTCGATTAGAGCGGAAATTATATGTTCGAAAGTTATTTATATCTACATTAGAAAATGACGAATGTGTGTGTATGCGTGTTTCTGTGTATATACGAGAGAGAGAGAGAGAGAGAGAGAGAGAGAGAGAGAGAGAGAGAGAGAGAGAGAGAGAGAGAGAGAGAGAGAGGGGGGAGGAGAGAGAGAGAGAGAGAGAGAGAGAATCATTAGAATTGTTATTTATTCAACCGTCTGAGACTTTGTCTCCTAAAGACAATGTAACGGATTATGACAATTTATCATAACTGGTATACATAGAATAGAAGAGAATTTGCATAATACAGAGTAGTGGCAAAAACAAAATTAAAATGAAAGTACGTAAGATTCAGCAAGGTGCAAAATACGGACTCAAGATCAGAGAGAGGGCCACTTTTTCAAATAATCATACGGATTTCACCACGCGATTGGTTGGTGGAAGATCGGTCTCGCGGCCCGACCCAAATACCATTAGCGTCGAATTATGCGCGGAGCTTTCGTGATTCGCGTGTAGATCACGATACCGGCAGACGCGTACGTGTGCACCCAATGGGCGCAGCGGGTGCACGCATGCAGAGAGTCGGATATAATCTCGTCGAAACGGTGGTATAGTGTTCTGTATGCAAGCGCGTTCGGTATATCTGTGAACGGCACGGCGCGGCGCGGCGCGGCGCGGCCCGGCTCGGCTCGACGTGGCGCGGGGGATGCCTAACGGCATTGCGAATCCTATACAAGAGACTTCAGGCACGAATGGCGGATCAATGTTTTATCGATATTGCAGCAGACGTAGCGTTGATGTACGTCTCGAGTCGGCGATACGTATATTGCGCGTGCTTTCTGCCGTTTGCAAGAGGATTTATGGATTAGCGTTTGTTTATCGTCGCCCTTGCTACGATTTTCCCTGTCGGCAGCTCGCGCTTTTTCTACCCGGACGATACCCAGACGTGGAGAAGGGCATTAAAATGGGCGATCCGAGAAAAAGCGGAGAAGGCTCGATATACGCCTGTGCACGTTATGTCGCGATTCCTCTTCGTGTCTTCCATCTTTCTTGCTTTCTTTAACCGGCTCAAGTGTATCCGGGACGATACGCTCCAAGGACGAGCGTCATCCGCTTTTTAAAGCTCTCGAGCGAGTTAGGATATTATTTGCCCGTACGGAGGAATAATTAAACCTTTCCTCGACGTAAACAAATTACATTAGAAAACTGCGCCGCCGTGAGATTATGACACGAAGAAGAAAGCGGAGCAATTTTGTGATCGTAAAATGGAAAAAATTTGCCCGGCGAAGAAGCAACAGAATTTCCGTAATGGGCGGAGGAGGCACGAACGAAACATGTTAGTAGACAAAGAAGCGATGTGCCTAGCTCATGGCTGGGCCATGCATGAACGCGCGCCTAGAATCCGCGATGTCGACAGCAGAGAGGGTAGAAGATGCGAAGGAGTGGAACGGAGAGGGAGGACCAGAGAGGTTACTGCCGTCAGGAAACTTTTGTTTAAAATTGGAATTCCTTTGCGGCTCGTTGGGACTAGGAATGCAGATAGGGCGGAGGCGACGAAAACCATGAGTGGGCGAGACGAGGTCGCCGGTGGAACGGAAGAAATGCGGCTGGCTGGAAAAAGGCGACGTACGATATTGTTTCATCATAAAGGGAAGCTCCTTGCTCGCGATGGAAAGCTCTTAAGGAGCGACGCCGTCGGAACTTAAGTGTTGCGTGTTGACGCAACTTCTTACGTAAACATTTTGTTATACACTGCGGATTTTCTCGGTCGGGTATTTTCGTAAATTAGCGCAACGCGCGCTGTCGCGTATCAATCGTGCGCAACGACTGCTGGAAACGTGTAACATAAACGTACCAGTAGTAACAGACAGCAAGCAGTGACAGTGAGTAGTAAGAGACAGGTGATAAACGGACTGGTGACGGACGGTGTTATTTCATCCAATTATTGGAATTTAATGACAGCTACACATTGGTAGTTTTAATTATTTACGCAAATTTACATGGTTCTCGTTGAAGTTATCGCATCGCGGTGTCAGCAGTGAGACCGAATGAGACTCGTGACTTTGAGTTACGCGCGATTTATATGTACGTCTGCGATGAGCATGTAACAATTGAACAATTGCGCGTTATTTGACCGAATACGGTAATCGTTTAATTAATTTGCAGGTATCTCACGTACGCCTGGAATCATGTTCCTGCTGCGTGTGCCACTACGTGGCTAAACGCATTAACCCATAATTATCGAAATTACAGACCCGAGCGGCAGCCAACCGTGGAGTCTCCTCACCGCCGTCTCCCAAGATTCCCTCTCGGCCTACTGCGGATACTTAGGTAAGTATCCCATCTCGCTAATTATTCGAACGCGACCGCAGCTTCCACGCGGTCCTCCCGCACCCCGCGCCGGCTTTGCGAACTTAAGAAAGCGGATTACGACCGCTCGATCGTTTGAGAAATTCACTTGGCAAGGATCTTTTCGTGGCGAGGCGCGCACCTAATTAAGTCCACGCGCGATGCGTCGGCCGTAAGAATCGGAATTGCTGTTTGCGTACGAGGGCCTTTGAGGAATGTCGAAAGCGCGAAAGTGGCGAATATTTTCGAGGAGGGGTGCCACCTGGCGTGGCGGACGCCTTTAATTTGCAGTTGGAACGACGTCGCGAAGGGGCGAGGGGGACGACGTCTCTCGTTGGAATTTCGCATCGGAATCGATCGTCCGGAACTATGAAATATCGCCATCGACGATGACGTATTTCATTTCGCCCGTCAATTTTTTTTAAAGGCAAGCATCACGGATATCGACGACCTTTCAATGGAATAACGGATCTTCCGCGAGAAAAAAAATTCCATCACGTTGCAGCCGAGGTGTAATTGCGGATGCAGTAAATACTTATCCTGCGTAACGGCAATATAAACGCGGGAGCAAGAGAACCGATTAGAGGGACGCGGTATAATTAAAAAGAATCGTTTCGTTCCGTTTTGCGCTGAGCTCTATTTATGACACAACGCGCGGTAATGGCGATTCATTTTCACGCAGCGACATTGTCCCCGAACACTGACGGCTCCTAATCCGCATTAAATTAATCTTACGAAAACACCCGCGTAAAGTATGAAAACTTAGCTGGCCGCGACCAACTTTTTCTATTAGGCATTATCTAGATTCCGGAACACCGCTTATTTCCGTCTAGAAAGTGTTTTATTTGTTAATGCTAGGCCGTCTTATCATACTCGTTATTATTCAAGAGTCACGAAGTACCGCGTACACGCGATCGTTACATACCGTAAAATGGTCTCTCGGAACGATACTTCCTAGCCGAACGGCTTCTTTCAAAGTTCGGCAGTTTTTTCTCAAGCGTTACTATTACGTTTTTAAAGATCCCACGTGTTCTTCTACCAATAAGGTTTTTAACAGTGAGAGAAAGAGGGGGCTAATAACATAAGAATTTTAATCAATACCTTATACAATAATATTGTGCATTTATAGCACTTGAAGAGTCATAAATGGAATAATAATTTGTATGATAACTCGCATACCGTGCAAGAAAGATATATCTCATATCTGGGATGTATGAGATGCGTTGAAATTGCATTAAATGCGATTAAGCCTGCGATAAGTATAACGAATAGTGTGCTAATGTGAATGTGGGTGAATTTTTACCATTGCTTCCAACAGAGCGAGCTTTGCCCTCTCTCTCTCTCTCTCTCTGCTAAGTGTTTCTCCAGACTTTTATCCTGATGAGTTCTGGACGGGGTGTGGTTGATTCTGTCAAGAAAATTTACTAGCGATTCTGACGTCCAGCAATTAGAGAAAGTAGGTGCATAAAGTTTCTTCGACTCGGCTCGTAACGAGGGTACTTTTATGATCATCCGCTGACCCGCTAAATACTAAATATTATACGAAATATCTTAATCCACTATTTTTACACATTCTTAACTATTACTTGAAACATACGGTAGAGATACAAAAGATTATTTCTCTAATTCGATATATTGCGTGATATTGTTAAAAGTTTTGTACTATAATCTCTTACCATACGAAAATGCGTAAATTCTTTTCGCGTACACATCCTGTTTCTCTCTAAAAATAATCGGTATCGACAATGATTACGTAGCGCAAATAAAATATCGCGAAAACCATGAATGTGCTTGCAATAATACTCAACTTGTGCGTTGCCTATTAATTATTCTTGCAAAATTTATACAATCTTATTATTTATACACTATAGTAATTCTTAGTGTTCTGAAACGACGGCTCTCGCGTTATGCTTGTGCAATGTGTATGGTGACAAGATTTCTAGAAGTATTTATAAAGAAACCGAAATTTTTCAACACTTTAGCTCCAGCTATTGCATATTTTGAAAAATTGATCCCTTGAACAATGGCATCGCGCGGGCGAAGCGTGGCAGGCAAAACACTGTAGTTCACGCGTACGTACACGGAGTTGGACGAAAGTTTGGTTTCCGGGCGCGCTGGCACTCCGGCGTGGAACTTTATGCTAATTCGACGCGCCGACTGTACAACATTAATAGAAGTCCAACTACTCGCCGCGGTAGCGGTTCCCACGAGCGCAGACGAGCGTTGCGCGATGTCTCTTGCGAGGATGATGGGGCAAAGTCGAGAGGATAATGCATCGATTATGCAATCCTCGCCTCTGTGATCGTTCGGGCAGTTAAAAGCGACGACCGATCGGATAACCGCGCAGACTAATACTCCATAACGGTCCGATAGAAATGATCAAACTCGAAACCGGCTTAACAAACAACCGGGCCCGGATCCACGTTGCCTCGCATTTTACACAGAACAAACGTAAGTGTGCGTCTGTGCGGCGGCGTCGCCGTGGAAGAGAGGCGCGAGCAACGAAGTCAAGGGTTCCTCGCTACAGGCGTCACAACTCATCCTAATTACATCTACCCTCGTTTCCGGATTCTGGGGGCTTCCCGTCAGGAGAGTACACTAGTACTTAATTAGTATTGCCTACCGGACCTGCCGGCGCTGCAATTGAGACGTTTAACTATATTTCCGTCCCGGAGAATCATTATATTCCAATTTAATTCGCGTTGACAGTTATACTTTCTCCGCCAAGAAGGACTTGCGAATTAATATATTTTTTCAGCCTTTACATCATTCGTTCGTAAAGATCTATCGAAGCGTATAACTTTCATATAAAAATATGTTAATACAATATATCCTTATTTGAGAACGTGTCCTAATATACGCATATTAAACAAGGAAATTGCGTTAAACATATCGAAATTAATATTGCGTAAGGACCCGTGTATATCTGTTCGCAAATGATTTGCTATAATTAACCCATCCCTCTCTCGTGTAAATCGATTCCGTTTGATGCTCAGCCCATCTTTAAATTTAATTGTAACAAATCCGGCGTGATTAACGAGCAAGTGGTCTGGTTGTCTGAATATATACGGTGCGTCGAGGAGCACAGCGCTCCGGTTTCGCAAATCATTTATAACCTAGCATTAAAAGATCTTAACGCTCGTGTAGCGTAAAAAATGAACAGGCCGACCAAGTCGGGCCCACTAGCAATTTCGTCTCCCCGGGACATTCTTTCTAATTACCAGAGATTTATTAACGTTGTCGCTGCACAATCCACTTCTTGCATCCCGCGCCACCTCCTGCGCGCTTCCCTTAAGCAAGTTCACTCTGCCCTATCCCGTGACGATCATTCCTAAAGTAATTGCTCTTGCCGTGGTCTCAGCTAAAAATCAGAGACGCGAAACTTTCGTTTCTCAACAGCCGTAGTCGTTTTATTTCCTACCTCCGTTATGTTCTATCAATTTAATATAGCAGCGCGTTTTGTGCCCGCTGCAAACAATAATGACGCGTTAAAAGCGCCGCTTGTCTTTAATAGTTGCGTTTGTTATTTTTTTCTTACTCGTGAACATTATAGAATCAAATTCTCGCCGTGTGCTAGTTCGTTCTTCTCGATATTCTCAATTCAAATTCGCACTTTAGATCTGGAACGTATAATTGTGAGATAAAATTTAATAATCGTCTTTGATTAAAAAATCAATCGTTTTTATTCGCGGCAATAAAATAATTTACTTTCTTAAAGCAATAGAATCACGGCTTATTGAGTGTATGTAACGATGCGAATTGAAATAATAAGGTATTATGCAGCCTTGTTAGGGTGTAAGAAAGCATTAGGCTAAGCAGGGCTAACCGAGCTACGAGGGTATTTCGGTGTAATGGGGCGAATCCTATTTGATACTTAACAACTTTCGTGGTTCGGCTTTTCTTTATCTTCCTACCTCACCGTGTCAACGACCTGTGAATTTTAAATAAGTTGCAAATTCCCGTAAAATCTCGCGGCTATTTTAAAATGTTCATTACATTACGGATATATAACAGTAACGTTGTATTATCTTTACGCGCGCATGTGTGTCTCTATGTTTATTTAATATCAGATTTTGTTAATATTTTTATATGCATACATATATATAGAATTATCATCAAGTATAATATAATTTATATTCCGTGATACTAATTCAGATAATATGCAAATTCTGTGTTGTAGCTCAAATTACGTTATATTATAAATTATACTGTATTTAGTATAACCACATATTCGATATATTGCAACGTTGGACATAACACAGCTTGATGATGACGTTGACGCTATCATGTCACCTATTATAACTAAATTTGTATATTATCTTGGCTCGTGCATCTGAAATGAGCGTCCAAATTGGAAATAAGTAACTTATTATCTTGTAAGCTAAGTTGAAAAGATTATTTCGCGAAAAGATACGCATCTTCGTACCGTCGAGTTTCAGATTTTAACTCACGGTAGCTCATTGGGGGTGAGGCCGGATGACGGAGAAAAATGGGCAGCAATTTTCTTCAAGGGTAGTCCGACGAACGCGAAGTAAGAAAGTCAAATTGTTAGGTACGTTCTTAAAATCACAGAATCGAAATTGAAGGGAGACAGGAGAAGAAAATGAGCGATGACTCTGTTAAATAATCTGCAAAGGGAAACGAACAATTTCTCATATTTCGTGGGATAGTAACATAATTTTCGTGGAAATTGCATTTTCTTTCGAAAGCAATATACAGGTATTATCATTATATTGCGAATAATTGGTATATAATTTATTTTTTAATAATTTACATAAATATTAAATGCACTTGTAAGAAAATTGAAAAGACGCCCCCGCGATCAGGATACTACAATATCCGGTTGATTTGAAGAAAAATACAAAGCTCATAGTCGCGTCAATCTTCAATTATTATAAAATCTATCTGTCAGTTTCACCCGCGCGATTCATTTTGTGCTACAACTTATTTTCCGTTTGTCTTTCTCTTCCTTTCCCCGTGTCCCATCGTCTCTTTACTTCCCGCATTGAGGGTGACTGATTAAAGAAATCCACGTCAGATACTCGCATCTTGGACAGAACGCCTGTCAAAAGGTTACGTTAATTGCCTCGCGCTTGATTGATTAACGTTCTGATCCTATTAACTATTGAAAAAGATTAGAGGAAGGCCCTCTCGAGTGTAGATAGATAGTTCCAACGAAATCTGATTATGTTTCTATCCCGGGATGAAAAATGATTCTTTGCATTTCAGCAAACACGTTACATCAAATTGTAATGGACTGGTCCAATCATTCATATTACGCATAACAATATTAATGTGAAATGATTGCTTAGGCGTATTCTCGGATGTTAGGTGAACAATTGTTATTTTAATGTTTGAGGAAAACCGCTTTGAAATAAAAGATGGAATAATTGGTAATAAGTGCAAGAAATGCGAAGAAAACTATTGTCTTTCGACGCAGAGATGTAGAAATGTATGTGCATTGAACAATTACGTTGCAATATAATTCATAATACGGACGGAACAATGTAGTCAATGGAAACGACATACTTTGCATGAGAATACAATCAGTGCAATTCAGCTGGTGCAGACACGAGCATATCACTGTGAAATCAGCTTCATAGTGATATGTTCCTACTATATACACCGCGCATATCGATAAATTAAGTCGACGATTGAAAATAGCAACGCACATAGCTAAAGAGAAGATACATAAGTAAATTGGATTTAGTTTACCGCGGTCTTACGGCGAGTAAGCAATTTGTTTTATTATCGTCACACGCAGGAACACTTTCGTTCCCGGAGGAGTTCTATTTTCTGAAGAACTGGAATATTTATGCAGCCGATTTTAATGAACGCAGATATCGTTACTGTAATCGTCATATTAATAGACAGCGGCAATTAAAACTTGTGAGAAATGATTCCGCCGACGTATAGTGATATGCCCCATGTCTGAACTTCATTCAGCGTGTCTGGAAAAGCCTTGAATTCTCGGCACTGCGCGAGTTATGCGAATTGATACCGGTAATTAAAACTTTCCCCGATCGTGCCATGATTGCGCTGTAAATGCGAATCGCGCGCATACATACACACACACACACATATACGTTTATATGCATTCTCGGTGTATTCGAGATTACGCAAATACTATCGTCTGCAACTTTTTAATTTACTTGTAACTATATTTATTTAACGTTTTATTTTCTTAAAACATGTATTGTCTAATTTGATTTCACAATTTTTTAATCTCGACCAAATGTCTAGTTAAAATACATTGGACACTACGTTTATAAAAATCCAAAATGAAATAATTGGTTCTCAGGTCTCCATGTAATATGAAAAATTATGCGGATACACATTTATGTTAACATACGTCGCAAATTTGCGATCAGAACTCTTGAATAATACATTTTCGTGCGAACGTAGGTGGAGATACACCGATCATAAATCCAATTATAGGTGAACCTGTTCTCGATGACGTCACATCCATCCTTCGGCGACCCTTTCCCTTGGTCTCGATCGGATAACAATTACGACCGCCTATACTACCACCACTATGCTCGCCTATCCATCGATATCTCATTCCTTTCCTTCGCCCCGACACCCCTTTGACAACTGACCAACACCCCAGAAAGAGCTCCCTCATTTCGCACTTACGAGATCCACGTCTGCGTTCCGCACCACAAATATTCTTTTGTCGTTGAAAACAACAGCCATATCCGTCTGCAAAACATCGTCCACGCCGTCCACGATATGGCTTCAAAATCTAACGCAATAATTTTTTAACTCTTGCCACAAGATTATTGATACTAAATCGTACATTTTACGTAATGTCGCGAGGCAATTTCCTTCCGAGATGTAATCGATTCAATAAAAACTCGTGATTACGTAGCGATCTAATAATAGATAAACGTGGAGAATCGTATCGTTACGGGACACATGTAAGACTGTATTCATGATGCGTGAAATTGCATGGTGTATGATATTATTGACGAGACCAGTGAGAATATTAGTAATGTGACAATGGGCTTGTGTCTAAGTATATAGGTGCGTACGGCAGGTGACTGTTGACTAGACTGGCCGCACGATAATAGACACACTGAATAATATTTAATGGCAGAGATGCATAAAAGTGCGCATATGCGCGGCAGTTACGGCAAGA